GGATCTGTTGGGTTATTAATATTGGAAATATACTTATCTTCTTTATTTGCAGTATTTTTAATTCTTCTTCTTTCCCTTTAAGAGCCTGGCACTACTTCGGACACTTTAAATTACACCACCACTGTAATTTAAACATGACCCGATGATGCGGATTTTAATGGTTAGGATGAAATAATAACACCGAACCTTACTTTTTTCCTTGGCTTTTCGCGCCAAATGTCAAGCTATAATGGTGTGTTTGTTGTGTCACTGACACACTGTAGGCATGTATTGTGAAGTCACTAGCGCCTCCTACAATAGTTGTATGTAACTAAACATTACACCGATAGCAATACGAATGTGGTGGCGCTCACTGATATATTTTAAAGATGTGTCTGTGAGATTTACTAGCGCCTCCTACAATTGTTGTATGAACTAAACTTTGCTTCAACTCGCCCCACTTAGGTTTGACCCCCCAGGGTGGGCGCTCGACCCCAGTGATAGGTCGCTGGGTTGGCTGGCGGACACGGGGCGACCGCGCAAGGAACGGTCGCTCTGGTTCCGTTGTTACCTCTCCTCAGTCGAATACGACCGTTAAAAGCGAGGGGCCCTTCGTGGAGATAGGGACTAATCGTGTTCCTAGGCTCGGGCGACGTTGCCGCTGAGCGCGTCACCTGGGAAAGGTGGCCACTCTAGGGCAGCGTGGAGATATTTTTTCCCTCGAGGCTCGCTTCCCCTGTTTTTCGCCCGTATTTCGATCCCCACTACTATTCCCCTCATGCGTGCTCATGCGCGTTCGCGAAGCTCTCCGCAGCGCTATGGTCCCCACCATGTTCGCGTCGTCCCCACTTTCCGGCCGAGGGAAAAAATATCTCCACGCTGCTTTAGGGTAGCGGCTCGCCTGTCGCGCTCGCGGCTCGGCCAGATTAGCATGGGAAACATCAATTAGGTCGCGTTTCGCACGTTCTAGTACGAAACTAGTCAATGGCGACGCGTCGCGTATGTATATATTAGATTTAAGTAGTTCCCCGACATTTGGAATCATTGTTCTTGGCGTATGCTTTTCTCAGCGTGAGAAAGATACGTTGAGTTTTTCCTGCGCCACAGGCTTGCCTGGGTGAATGCGAGAACAACGAACGCGACATTTGGAAACAATAAATTGTAAGACTGAACGGCGCGACGAACCCTTGAAGTGCTTGAACGCACAGGAACAGGAAGGACATTGTGTGTGGACTAGGGCTCGACCAGTCCAAGTGCTTGGAGCCAATTTATTGTCCTTTCTTGGGAGAAAGCGATTTTGGGCTTGGGTTCGAAACGCAAGTAAAAACAGATGGCTGTGGACAGCACTGTCTAGAGAAACGTGTATTTTTTAGTACTTTGTTAGTAGTTAAGTTTGTCAACGGATACGGCTGCGTAGCGAGCGTTGGATTGCGGGAAAACTGTTTAGGTCATTGGGACAAGTTGGGACTCAATAGCTGTGGAGCTTATCGCAGTCAATTTATTGCCTTATCTTAGAAAGAGATTAGCATCGGCTCGGGTTCGAGGACTGAGTATAAACACATGGCTGCTGACATCGTTGGCGCCCGCGGTGGCCGAGGCCCAGGGGGTCCAATTCGGGCCGCGGACCGCGCGATGTTTGGAGCCTAAGTGTTTGGGAATGCTATTAGGAAGGAGATTGGTGCGGACTCCGCCTGGGGGTGGGAGTCCGAGAAAAAGGCGGTTATCGACCGAGGGATTGGACATTTTCCATGATAATTATAGAAAAGGAAAACGCGGTTCCCGGAGATCGATAGCGTGGGAGGAGGCGGGTCTTAGGACCCAAATAAATAGCGGGCGCGTTTTGGAGAACAGAGAGTTCCGTCCAACAGTTCCTTGAAACAGTTCATCAGTACAGCCTAACAGTAGAGTTCCTTGAGAGTTCATCAGTAGAGTTCAGTCTAATAGTTCTTTGAAGAATTTTCTTGATTCAGATCACATTAGTCGTGCGAGACAGTTCTCTTGAGTCAGTTCAACCAAACAGTCTCAACGCGTTGCTACCAGCCGGCCAAACAGAAGAGATAATAAAAGAATTTAACGATCATTTGTACATTTTCACTTCTCCCTTGACTATTCACTCGCTAACACTCGTGGGAGTGTTAACATCAACATTTAGAATCAATAATTACCGTATATCATAGGCACAATCTGAAAGTTTGAAAAAAATAGAGTAGAATAATAAAGATAGAGTAAAATGACAAAGAATAAAATTAAGAGTTCTTGATTAAATTCAACAGTAAACTTAACAAAATCATAGAGCGTGCGCTTAAATCCTAGTACAAATAAGACAGAGGAAAAGTACAAAAAGACAAGAGAGAATGTAAAAAAATTTTTATCCAAAATCCTGATTTTTAAAGGTTTATTATTGATTTGCACGAAAATTGTTTGATTCTACTTGTATAGTATAAACTATAATTTTTCAAAATGTAATTATGCAGAAAATCGATACAATAATGTTTAAAGAACACTGAAAAAGTAAAGATTTTCGAGATCGGGACGAGAGTCTAATTTTCAACTTCTCACGAGATCGAGATCGAGAGTTGAGTACTTGTGATACTCAACAACAGATCGAGGGTGAAGAAAAATGGACAATTGACCGTATTCCCTGGTTTGTTCCGCGTCATGGTCATTGTCTATTATTGACTGCAAATACCAAATCTTCTGAAGATTTCGCCACGTAAAACAAACAAGAACCATGTTTGGATCTTTTATTCCATTACGATACCACGATTAAAACAGTGGACCGTCATGAAAGGATCAATGTTCAAATATTTTTAGACAATTAAAAAATACTGTTTAAACAATGAACTCTGCTCAATGAACAATAAATGTGAGAAAAAAACATATATATGTTAAAAAAAATATTGTCGGCGCCAAGACGCGAACATACGTCAAAAAAGTACGC